AAAAGCCAAACTGAGTCAGGCGCAGGTGATTCATACCTTTAATCCCAGCAGTTAGGAAGCAGAGACAGGTGGATTTCTGTGAGTTCCAGGGCAGCATGCTCTACAAAAGAGAGGTCCAGAGTTCGGTGGTGGTGGCTCACACCTTTAATTCCAGCATTTAGGTATGTAGAGGAAGGCAAATCTCTGATAGTTCAAGGCCAGCCTGGTCTACAGTGAGTTTCAGGACTGGCAGGGCTACACAAAGAAACCCTATCTCAAAAAACAAACAAACAAACAAACAAACAAAAAATGAATTTCAGGACAGCCAGGACTGTTACACAGAGAAACCTTGTCTCAAAAAACAAACAAATAAATAAACAAAAAGAGAAAACAAAAAAGAAAAGTCAAATTGAGTGCTATTATATATAAGCAAGTGGTTTAGTCTGTCTTTCACGGGAGAGCAACAAGTCTCATGGTGTGCCTCCCTAAGCAATCTGGGAAGTACATGCCCCAGAAGGAACACTGTCTGTTCAATTCCCTGGAAATAGAAGATACATTACAAGATGCAAACACAGTATCGCTGGAAGCTGTCACTTATTTATAGTTACATGCCTAGGCCCAGGTGATTGGTGGGTGCTTGACTGGGATAGACAAATTGAGAATTATCTCCTACTCCTCTCAATACTAGGATTCATAATTTGAAAGGAGTTGACACTCCACTCTTTCATTTGGGCTCAAGGAGGTAAATCAGTAGACTCTTATAGCACACGGACTTTGGCCTCCAAAAACGCATGTGTCAGGATGGGAATTAGCATGCTTTCCCTTCATTCAACCTACACTTTTCGTTTGCCTACTTTCATCATTTTTGCACATAGTCTTATAAACATAAGATTTCATTGCCAGATTTCTTCTAAAAGTTGTGTTTTCCTCACATATAATTTTGGTCATATGCAAACCAGCATTTATATATTCTTTGAGTGTACATTGAAAATGTACTATTAATCATATAGTAAATACCTTTTGAGAAAATACAAATTCCAGAATAAAGATAAGCAAGTGTCAAAGCAGCAGTTGGGACTCTTAGAAGTTTTCGCTTCATTCATTCCACTCAACCACAAAAGAAATTGAGCTCGGTAATAGAAAACAGCAGCGCTTTCATCAAGTTGACTTATATTAAGTTTTCCTTTCTTCAGCTAGCAAGCTGTATGTCCTTAGGCAAGTTTATTCACCTCGGTGATCTTCAATTTTCCCATCTGCAATGGAGCAATGGAAAATAATAACTCAAATTTCCTAGCACTGATTTAAGACTGAGCAAAGAAAATATGCAAAGCACTTAGCAGCTAATTACTAAGTCTTAGGGGATCATCAATACTCGCGTTGCATTTCTTTACTTCTAAAACATAATCTTTGAAAACAAATCTCTTTAATTATGATATGTGTCATAAACCTGGATCCATTTTCAACAGAAGACAACTTGTAATCCCTGTGGCCCAGGCAGCAACAGGAGGCAGATGAGTTCTCTGCGCTTGTGATTGTTCCTGTTATTGTCACTTCAGTTGCTTTATGGACAGAGTGGTTTCTATGCATGCATAGTGTAACTGCACATTTAAGTGTGTTTCAGAAGGTTATATTAGGGTTCCTAATTAAAAGGAAAGCTGCAGCACCTGCTGAAAGCACACATGCACTCACACACACACACACACACACACACACACGAGTATTGGAACACTTACTACTTGAATTACTATTTTTGCAACAAAGCAAAAGGGAGAGGGGAGTCTAATGAGAGTCCCAATATGCGTGAGCCTCCCTGAGGTTACATAAGCAATAAAGGACCCCTGGGGAGAGTGAACTTTCTGGTGGAGTTACCTGAAAGTTATGCAGGGCACATCAGTGACACGCTTTGACAGCTGTCACCCATGCTGGCAAGTCTTTTTCGACCACTTAGCTACTTAAGGGACCTATAGTCCTGTAAGTCACCCCAATAAACTCATTGGCTCACCAACCTGGGTTTGTGTGGAACTGTTTCTTTGGTCTGGGTAGGTGCTCTATCCGAGAAGAATAGTCATTGTTCCTGTCTTCCGACGAGAAAAAAAAAAATAGATTGGACCACCTGCAATTGATTTCTAAAGGCAGAAATTGTGGGAGAAATACACATAAAAATCAAATGCTTTGCCATGTGATTTTGGAACGTCTGTCAGTGCCGATCCAGGTATAAACAATAGCTTTGCAGAAATATTTAGGCAGCCAGAGCTTCCTAGAACAGAGAACATATGTAGACCTTCTCCAGACTGAAGAGGGGACGGGGGAACATTTCAAAGAAAGTAAAACAACTAGATAAAACGTTAGTAAGCCTTTACCCTTTCACTATAGGACCAGAGCCCTACTGTGGAAGAAGGGAATGATCCAGGTGAAAGTCATATCAAAAAGCAGAAAATTCATGAGACTTTCTTATCTAAATGAAGCCCAGAAAAATGATAGGCACCTTAAAGAAACATCATAGACTTCCGAGCCACTTCTGTTAGTGGTACACATAACAAAAGGATTTATTGTACCTGAAGGTGTCAGCAAGTTGAACTAACCTTGGAACTTGTCTATATCAGCATAACATGTAAGGAGTTAGTGAATGCCCCTGGACATATATATGTTCAGTCTAATGCTGGCTCTAGTTTTTAGTGTTCTTGCCTAATCTGGTTCTTATCCTAGCAGCATTCAATGCTGTTTTTCCCCTTTTTGTTTTGTTTGTTTGTTTGTTGAGACAAGGTTTCTTTGTGTAGCCTTGGCTGTCCTAGAACTAACTCTGTAGACCAGGCTAACCTCGAACTGACAGAGATCCGCCTGCCTTTGCCTCCCAAATGCTGGGATTAAAGGCATGTGCCACCACCACCCAGCCTCAATGCTGTTTTTATCATATGGAATATTGTGGTGGGAAACTAACGCTGTCCTGTCAAGGTGATCTTCCTGAATAAGAAGCAGTACAACTCATATCATGGCTGCTTCGTTCATGACTCATTTCTTGCCCATAAGAGAGGAAGTATGCTTTTCCAAGGTAGAGTGGAAATCTAGTCTTCTTTTTAAAATCCCAATAAGCATATAACGATGGGTCTCATTATGACATTTTAATACATGCATATCATGCCCTTTGCCCCTATTCACCTCCCCTAAGGAGACTGAGGTCACTCGAACCTAGAAAGCAAGATTAAAGGAAAAAAAAAAAAACGCTATAGAAAGAAAAACCACTCAATGAGAATAAATGATACTATTTTAGGAGTGATAAACGTTTTAGCAGCTTCACTGGTATTTAATTGTCACACAATAAACAATGTTGCTCAAAGTATAAAATAAGATCTTTTAATACAAACATTTACATTGTTTGTATCCATAAATTGCGAAAATCACAATCAAAATAATGAACGCATTCATGATCCCTGAATTTTTTCTTCTGCTATATCCTGTTGTTTTTTTACCTTCTAGAGTTAAATGGGGATCACGCTCCTGATTTTCTGGTGTCTATAGCGGAGTATAAACACTGTGAGGCCGCTCCATGCTGTTGTAACTATTATGAATATATGGAATTGCTTTCTTCGCCTACTGATGGACATTTGTATTAGTTCTAGTTTAGAGCCCTTTCTAACTAAACTGCTATGAACATCATGAGTCAGTTCATATGAATACATGCTTTCATTTAGCTTGAGTAGATACTTTTAGTGCCATGACTGGATCAGACAGCAGGTCTGCATTGCGCTTTAAAAGGTCACATTTCTTGCTGCTGTAATCAAACCCAGGAGCAATTAAAAAGAGCAGAGACCCATTGTGACTTACAACCTCAAGAAAGACAATTCTTAGTGGGGAAGAGGTGACCGGGTGAGCATCACAAGGCCTAAGAGTAGTGTATGACAAGGTTTGCTCATGTGTGGAGAGACAAGAAAAAGAGCAGGACCAGAATCAGGACTGAGTAATATCCCTCAAAGGTTCCCATCAGTGATCCACCTCCACCAGTCAGCCATGCCTCCTGCCCCTACAGACCCCACTGCCTCACAAAATATCACCACCCAGCTAAGAACTGAGGGTTCAAACACGTGAGAAGGACCTTTCTCCAAATCACACACCCAACTACTTTCTGTGTGATTTTAGAGTTTTATTTCTGTCAGCTATGTGTGAGCTCCAGTTGCTTCACACCCTTGGAGACACAGGAAAATTTGAAGCTGTTTGTAAATGTGTAGACATATCTCCTTAGGGGGTTAATTTGCATTTTAATGATGACTTATGTTCCCAAGAATTTTTCCAATGCCAGTTGCCAATGGTTAAGTGTCTGCTCAAATCTTCTATCCATTTGAATTGGGATGCTTGTTATTTTATTGTTTTATTGTAGGATGTTTTCACATAGTTTTTATTAGAAAAGTAATGTGGAAATAATTTCTCCCAGGCTATAGCTTTTGTCTCTGTTTTCTTAACAAAATATTTTGAACAGAAGATCTTAATTTTCATATCATTACTATCAATTTTTATCTTATGAATTATGATTTTGATGTCCTAGTTCACTTTCTGAAGCTTTGATAAACACCCTGACCAAAAGCAGCTTGGGAAGGAAAGGGATTATTTCATCTCACAGTTCACAGTCTGTTGTGAAGGGAAGTCAGGACAGGGACTCAAGGCAACAACCCGGAGGAAGAAATGGAAGCAGAGGCCACAGAGGAATGCTGTTTCCTGCTCATTCTCTGGGCTCACATTCAGCTGGCTGACTTATAGTTCTCAGGACCACCTTCCCATGAGTATTATCAGAATGCACTGGACTCTCCCACTAACCGTCAATCAAGAAAATGGCCAGAAAGCAGCCTACTACAAGTCACACTGATGGTGACCGTAGTGGACAGCCTCAGCTGAGGTTCCCTCTTCCCCAAATGACGCCAGTTTGTGTCAAGTGACAAGAAACAAGGCAGCACAGCTTGAATAGTTTTTAAAGATATGTATATAATTAAAGTCACATCACTTTTCTCATGCCATCTTCTGAGGACGCATAGATGACACAGGGGGTAACTTTAACTGTGACGGGTGTCACCCAGGTGAAGATCATGACAGGTGAAGATCATGAGCTCCCTCATGGTCCTGGCCTGTGAACAGTTCCAAGCAAGAATGTGCAAGACATTAAGAACATCATCCTGCAAACCCTGATGGTGCATCTACGCTTCATCCTTGGGACTCTGGCTGTAAAACAGATTTACCAGGACTGAGACCAGCTTGACAAACTGGTGCGGGAAGTGGCAGCCCCTGATGTTGGCCGTATGGACCTCAGAATCCTTAACCGTACCATCAAGGACATTTATGACAAAGAAGACTGTCTGAGTTCCCAGACAGCTGTGGTACAGCAAGATGCAGATATTGGTGTGGCAGAGGCAGAACAGGTCACGGGTGTCTGAGAAGCTGAGTACAAAGAAGTCGGTGCTAGATGTGAAGTTCATGGCAAACACCAAAATTACTGATTCCAAGAGAGCCTTGGAGCTGCCAAAATCAGCCTTCAATGAGGTGGTAAACATCCAGACAGTGGAGGCCCAGTTGGCCTATGAGCTGCAAGGGGCCTGGGAGCAACAGAAGATCCTGCAGGAACAGATTGAAGCAGTGTAGGGCAAGCCTCAGACAGTTGTAAAGTGTGTCACCCTGCAGAGGCAGAGAGCCATCGTATCCACCAGATTGCTGAGGGCAAAAAGGTAAAGCAAATCCTGTTGGCACAAGCAGAAGCTGAAAAGATTCACAAAATCAGAGAGATAGAGATAAAAGTCATTGAGGCAATGGGCAAGGCAGAGGTTGAGCGGTTGAAGCTTAAGGCTGAGGCCTACCAGAAGTCTAGGGATGCAGCCAAAAAGGCCTTGGGGCTGAAGGCCCCGCCCCAGATTGCTGCCAAAACCTCTGCCTCCCTGACGAAAGTCCATGAGATTGCAGTTCTCAGTGGGGAGAACAGCAAGGTGACATCAGAAGTGAAGTGGCTGCTAGCAGGACTGCCTGCCTCTATTTAGGCCCTCACCAGTGTGAACCTCTCAAAGATATTCCTGATCAGGGATGCCACTGGTGCCCAGGTTTGAGTCTCCTACAGGCTCAAGTCCTTCAACAGCTGCCAGTGCTTTCAGTTCACGTTTTGACATCACAGGGACAACGAGAACATTACTGACTCTAGTGCTTTATTTTGTAGGAACCAGAAGTGTGGCATGTTCAGGCCGTCTCTTGACTATCCTCCCTTCTTTCCTGTTAACCTTTTCTTCCTCTCTCCTTCACACCCACACATTAACCACCACATTCATCTAGTGTGTTTTCTCTTCTGACAAATGTACCTCTTCCTCTGGCTCTCTGTTTCCCTCCCCCTTTCTTCCCTCCTCCACACACATCATAAAGCTTAAGCAGAAGCTGAAATTGTTTATTACAATCACTGTCTGTGAGGAGCGGTCCCACTGTTCCTCAGTACCCTGCTGCCTTCAAACTCTACATGTATCTGTCTATCTTCCCTAGCCCTGGCAGAGCCCAGCATGGGTACAGATTTCTGGATAGGACACCCAATCTCCTCTGCCCCAGTCTGAACTTCTAGTCCTAAACTCTGTTACAAGAAACCCACAACCCACACACTCTTGCTCTTTGAGGACTGAGTGGCCATGGCCTATTGGGCCTAGAGTAATGCTCTTCATACACACCCTGGCCCAGATCTGCTGTTTTACCCATCCCTACAGCTTTTATAGTTTACTGCTGCTTCAGGAATCCCTGCCTATGCTCAGTGACATCTTCTTCATTGGCTTGTCCTTGATTGGTGGGGTGGGTATTAGTCCAATTCTACTAAGTTTCTCTGGGGCTAACGTCTAGCTCTGTTGGGGACAGGAAAGTTTATAGTTCCTAATGCTAAGCTATCTTGAGCAGGTTGCTCTCCAAGGGGCAAGTCTATGCCAACCCTAAAAGAATCAAGTGCTGTAGGCAGGCCAAACCTCACTCTATGCCATTTTCTTCTCGGCCAGCATAATGGGGTTCTAGCCATGGGAAACAGCTAAATCTTCTGTATCTTTGAACTATTGATATCAGAAGAGCCCATTGTCCAAGTATCCGAGTAGAGGTGCAAGGGTGTCCCATGATCCCTGTCTCCAACCCTGGCCCTGCTCCAACCTGTGTAGGTGTTCTGCATGTGAAAATATGGGTTACCAACTCATAAGCCTTGGCATACTATATCCTTTGTAAAGTGAGGGAACCTAAGGGGAAGTGTACTTGCTTTTGCTATGCCCAAATACGTGAAGTCTCCCGAAAGTCAACAAGGAGACCGAGTCCCAAACATAAAAGCAAAGAGACTTGATTTTATGCAAGTTTGCAAACTCGGTCTCTCCACATGTTCAATGCTTTGGAATAAACAGAGAACCCCCAAACTCAGTTAGAGTTGGGTTTTTTATAGTAGTAAAGGTGGGGGTGAGGGGTTTCTGAGGCTCAGGACCCCTAATTGATTTGACTGGGGTGTCCTGGTGATTGTATGTTGGCATGTGATCCTATCTACAGTGGTTGGAACGTTAGGCATTTCCTCTGGATGGTCTGTTCTTGGGTGATGCTCAGGTAATTTTAATTTATGGTCCTTTCTGCAGCCAGGTATTGCTTCAGGGTAAACTACTGAGACTCTGGCCTTCATTAAACTTATCAATGGCTGAGTCTTACTCTGGCAGGTGATAATGGTTGGAAGTAAAGAACTTCCTTTGGGTGATCTGTTTATATTTAGCTTATCATGACTGGCTCCTACAGCTTTGACCAAATTGAAATAGATCATCAACTTTGTGTGGGGGTGGGAGCATAAGAGATCTTTATTTTTATCAAGGGAGACAGGCAGTGGGGAAGTACAACAACCAAACCCCAGACCAGACACAAATATGCAGCATTCACATGCTGCATTTTTTTTCAATTTGTTTTTTTTTCAAGTTGAGCGATATATACAACCATTACTCTGTTTTGACTAGAAACATATTGCAAGATTTTTTAGTATCTTAAATTTAACTGTGATATCTGGGTCAGTAATCTTAATGAACTCTGAATTTGAGTTATATTTATTTGGGGCAGTTTTCATGTGTTGCTTATTTGCTTGTTTGTTTTAACCAAGAGGTGTTCCTTTTTGAATTAAAATATCGAGGAACCCCTTCTAGTTCAATATTCTAGGCCAGGATTCCAATATGTTAGAAAATGCAAAGGAAAACACGGAAGCATTTACCCACATACCACTGAGCCCCTGAATCCAGACATTTGCTTTCCTGTGGACTCAGGTTCTGAATGCTCACTTTCTGTTTTCCTTGTCACTTGCTGCTCAGCACCCAAAGCTGCAAACCACAGTGAATCCAGCATTCCAGAGCTAATCCCTTTCTTCTGTCTTCAGCCAGCTTTGGAATGCAGCCACACTGAGCCAGGAGGCTCCTTTTGTATAAAACTAAGAAATAATTTCCTCTGGCTGAGGATCGCATAAAAGAAAGGATCTGTGAGTGGAAAGCACATTTCTAGATGACAAATCATCTTTAGTTACTTTTTAAATGTGTTTATGTTATTCCTAACAGGAATATAATTTTTTCTTTTATTGAGAACACTTTAGTCCCTCTGCATTTGTTTGACTCCTGGTTTGTTAGGTTGTTTGTTTGATTGAGATAAAACCATTATCAGTAAACAATTTCAAGACAAAGATGTGGGGGAAGGATGAATTATCGTAGGCTGTGAACCTCGGGCTTATCCCCTGCATATATATGGTAGACATGGGCTTCCACCTGGACCCCACAATTAGGTGGCTTTTCACACTTGCTAGAATTTCTAAGCTAGGAAATTATTTCATTCTGTGTACTTTTTTTTAAATTGATTATCTTGGAGTCTATTATCCTTCTGCTTGACCGCAACAGTGTTATTACAAGTCACAAATATTTCCACTAGTCATAAATTATAAATAGCTGCCAGCTTGTACCAGACATTGGTGTACTTGGGGGGAAAAGGAGTTCTCTATCTTTTATAATATTGAGTCTTTATAAACATCATCTGTTACTTGGTTACTTGGAGACCACCTGGGTAGCATAGTCTCTATTTTTAAACATTAAAAGAATTTGAACATTATTTTTCATAGCTTAGAAAACATGTCAGAGGATAGTTTGCTATGGTTAACGTTTGGACCAAGAAAGCTTGTTCTGTTTTCTTTTCTTTTTTTTAAATTAAAATTGTTACTATTATTTTTTAATCTTTGGAAATGGTAAACTAAACATACTCCTTTTTGTTTCCCTTCATAGTAACATTACTGTGTGGGCAGTCACACATTCTCAGTCCTTGTTTAGCTAGCTCTGAGACAAAGAAAGCTACGTATGTTACTAAAAGGAAGGACAGCAAAAAAAAAAATATATAACTATCTTTCTATGTGCATTTTTAAGTTCCTTTTCTCATCCATAGGTACCAAACCAGGTTAGGAATCTTTTCCAGAGACCTCTTTCATTTAATTGATTGTGTGAGGTAACATTTGTGGAAGAAGTAATTGTTCCAATAAATATTCAAATGACCTGGAACTGAGAAAGAAAAACCTTCTAAACTCAGTTATTCAGAACTACTTAAAACAGGTTATAATTCTGAATTTCAGGATTTCTGTTTAGCTTCCTACTTTCCTCTTATAGCCTCACATACCACAAAATAGTTATAATATATAAGTTGCTTCTCTCCTCACTTTGCTCTCCAATCCAGTTCCTGAGGCTAGCAATAAAAAATAGCCCACGGAAGTCTAGAAACTTAAGCACAAATCCATAGTAATGAAACATGCTGATCTTATTTGACAGTGGAATGAACCTTCTAGAAGCTCCTGAATCCAAAGAGCAATTTCCTTTGATATACAGCAGAGTGGTTCAGTAGGCAATGCCATTGAGTGACTGCAGTGTGCAGAACCAGGCTCCTGAGGTCAGAGACCACCCTGTGGAGGGAGCTCTCCAATAGGACTGCTTTTAGACTGCAATTCTTCCTTTTCTAATTCTAATTCCATTTCTATGTTTTATTTTCTTCTCAAAATTTGTACTACACATTACTGTGGACACTTCAAATAATACACACTAGGCTATCGATATAGCTACTGCCTGTAATCCATGCATAGAAGGAACCCTGCTCCATTTCATGAACAAAGACTATGAACAAAGTATATGGGTGAATTTAGTATTTTTGTTTGCTTCTATTAGTAGAAGGTAACTTGTTTCCAGGTTGCTAGTCCAAGAAAAATGCAACAATAAACATCTTCACTTAACATTTTTCTGTGTTTCTGCTCATTTCTCCAGAATATATCCTAGGAGCAAACTTTTTTTCATGGAAAAAGATCTTCAATTATCTATTATCTCAGCCTGATCAGACCAAGACAAGAAAGAAATAAAACATTCACAAAATAGAAAGAAAAAAGGACTAATCCTTCTGCAAACCTGACTGGATGGTAATTTAGAATATGCACTTCAGACAATAGGAAACAAAGAAAAATCTTCATCTGGAAAATAGAAGATTACCCTGCCATATAATCTGTTTCCTCCCCAGTTTACAAACCACAGTATTGCATGATCCTATGCAGAGACTGTGCCACAGGTTACTTAGGATAGCAGTCTATTTCTGAGTGGCACTCATTCCCTGCTGCACATCTGGTTACTGGAATCCACAGTGTTCCTCCCCTTCTTTCCGGCCAAGTTCATTCAGATTCCTCATGAAAACATCGCAAATTGACTGATGGTCAGGAAAAAATGTGAACTCTGATAGACTATCTAACCTTTATTAAGTAATAATATTTTTCAAATTCCACAGTTCAGCTATCACAACAAATAATAAGCATTTGACCCTAACTATGTGTTAGTCACAAGGAATATGAAAGTAAGTGTTGAAAAACTCACAATCTAATAGGATGGGTATACAAATTAATAAATGAATCCAAAGCAGTGTAATACATATGATAAACGATGAGTATAGAGAGACATCTCAGTGGGTGAGATGCTTGTTGTATGAGCATGAAGATTCAACTTTGAATCCCCAGCACCCACTTAAAATGCTGGATCTGGACACACACACCTATCAGACCCAGACTGTGAGGTGA